GGTTACTACTTTCCAGGTGGAGAAATTGGAGGCAGTTAGGCAGCTGGTTCGCATGGAAAACAAGAAAGCTGTGCTACCCACAGCAGGCTCTGCCCCCCAAAAGAAAGCAAAGGTGCCAGATCCAGTTTCACCAGCTCCTTCTTCTGTGAAGACACAGGACATCCTGGAGATAAACATTCCCCCAACACAGGAAGAGAGGAGTTCAAGTGTGGATTCTTTGCTGGCTGAAGCCAGGGGTGCCAAGCCTATTCCTATTCCTGTGAGGAAGGCCCTTCTGAAGGAAGAGGTAAAAGCCTTCAAAAGGCCAGGAGCAGGCCCTCTGCATAGACCAGCAGCTGCCAAAATGAAAAAGAATGGAAACAAAAAAAACAGAGAAGCTGCCAGACACCTTCACTTTGGCAAAAGAACAAAAGCTCAAGTTGATGCCCTACAACAAGCTTGGGTCAATGGCTCTCAGGATTGTCAATGGAAGGCAGCTGTTGCAGGTGAAGTCCCCCAAGGGCATCGATGAGAGCATGAAGTTGGCACTACATATGAAAAAGATGTTTGAACAGGGAAAGAATTTGGTGCAAGTGAAAGCCTGGAAGTCCCAGAAATTGAGCTAGGAAGTGCTTGGATGTGGCTGGTAAAAAGTGCTGCAGAGCACTTCGCCCAGGGATTGGGCTGGATAGCCCCATAGGTGGTAGGAGCAGTTGGGCTGGATAGCCCCATCTAACTAGGGCCTAGGGTGAAAAGCAGTTGGGCTGGATAGCCCCATGCTTTTGTAGGAGCAGTTGGGCTGGATAGCCCCATCTAACTAGGGCCTAGGGTGAAAAGCAGTTGGGCTGGATAGCCCCATGTGTTTGTAGGAGGAGTTGGGCTGGATAGCTATGTAGTTTGTTGGTAGGGTCAGCTGGGCTGGATAGCCCCATGGAGCAGTTGGGTTGGTATGGGCTGGACAGCCCCATTCAGTCAGAATCAGAAGAACATGTTTTGTCACACAGCCTTGTTGAAAGCTCAAGCACTAGAAGCAACCTCAACTGGTGCAGAGCCATGTCCAACTATGGCCAGGACTTCTATGGCAAGGGTGCTGGGCCACATGGCAAGGGAGATGCAGGAGGGCATCCTGGCAACCTCTGGAGGCAGAACATGAGGGGCCTTTGGGGGCTGTGGGGGCATGGTGAAGCTTCCTGGTTTGGTTTTGAAAGGCGTTGATCCTTTTTGGCGTGGACAGCCCCATGCAACTAGACAGGTGCACTTGGGCTGGATAGCCCTATAACCCCTGTACTCACCCACCCAACTTAAATAAGAGCAAAATTTGTCTGAGGCATTTGGCCCATGGCTGGAAAGGGTTTGCCTCCAAGCCTTTTTGGAGACAGGTGTGAGGGCAGGGTTGTCAAGCTGTTGTCAAAACAACTTCAATACTTTAGTGAACACACAACCTTGCAGGAGGGGGCCTATGGAATCAGCCAGGTCCTACATCCACAAAGCTTGGAAGCACTTGGAGCCTGGGGAAGGAGTTGGGCTGGTAGCCCCATGCACTTGGGCTGGACAGCCCCATGTAACTAGATAGGGGCAGTTGGGCTGGATAGCCCCATTTAACTAGATAGGAGCAGTTGGGCTGGATAGCCCCATGTAACTAGATGGGCTGGACAGCCCCATGTCACTAGATAGGAGCAGTTGGGCTGGATAGCCCCATGTAACTTGATGGGCTGGATAGCCCCACGCAACTAGATAGGAGCAGGTGGGCTGGATAGCCCCATGTAACTTGATGGGCTGGACAGCCCATGAACTTTGCCTGTTTTTGGAAGGAGGTGACTTTGTGAACTTTGTGGAGTGGCTGGTGGAGCGCTTGGACTTTCGCTTACACCAGGCAGCAAATGTTCCAAGCACACCTGTGCCTACTGTCACCGTGTATACGCAGGGTAAGGGTGCTGCAGGGGGAGAGAAGTGAAAAGGCCAGCCAGCAGAGGCAGCAGGGGGAGAGAAGGGAAAAGGCAAGCCAGAGGCAGCAGGGGGAGAGAAGGGAGGTGGCAAGCCAGCAGAGGCAACAGGGGAGAAGAGAGGCAAGCCAGCAGAGGCAACAGGGGGAGAGGAGGGAGGTGGCAAGCCAGCAAAGGCAACAGAGAAGGGAGGTGGCAAGCCAGGAGAGGCAACAGGAGGAGAGAAGGGAGGCAAGCCAGCAGAGGCAACAGGGGAGGCAAGCCAGCAGAGCCAGCACAAGCAGAGGAGGAAGAGACAGGAAAGGGTGGAGGTGGCAAGGGGGGAGGCCCAGAGGATCCCACAGGGAAGGGGCAAGCAGATGCAGGGAAGGGTGGTGGCAAGGAAGAAGCAGCACCAGCAGAGGGAGGAAAGGGTGGCAGGGCATCTGCAAGTGATCCATGGGCTGGCTGGGAGTGGGAAGGAAAGGGTGGCATGGCACCTGCAAGTGGTGCATGGGCTGGCTGGGGAGATGGTGGCATGGCATCTGCAAGTGATGCATGGGGGGATGACTTCAGCCAAAGCCAGTGGGAGGGAGACTGGGGAGAGTGGGGCTGGCAGGAACAGAAACTTGCTTTAACTTGCAACCCAGGAGTGACTTCTTTGAAGAGAAGAAGAATGGCCTGGGCTGGTGCAGATCTTGTGGGCTCTACTCCTATGTCAACCAGAGGAGTGCTTTGAGGGCTACTGATGCGCTTGGCTGCATGAGGCCAGAGTGCAGTTCCCATAGGGGCACTGCTGCTTCCAAAGGCTTTTTGGCAGCCTTGGAGAAGGCTGGGCTGATCTAAAGGATCTAGCCAGGGCTGGACAGCCCAGACCAGATTTTTGAAAAAGGTAGAAAAAGCTGGACTGGATAGGCCCACTAAACAACAGGGCTGGATAGCCCCATGTAATTAGTTGGAAGCAGTTGGGCTGGATAGCCCCACCAAACAATAGGGCTGGATAGCCCCAGGCAAGTAGTTCGAGGCAATTGGGCTGGATGGCCACACCACACACTTAAGTAGGTAGGTGCACTTGGGCTGGATAGCCCCACCCCACCCACTGTGCTTTCACATTTGGTAAGGGTATAGAACATGAGAGCACATGAGAGCACATGAGAGACCATGAGAGCACATGAGAGACCATGAGAGACCATGAGAGCACATGAGAGACCATGAGAGAGAGCCTAACAGAATTAGAGAACATGAGATTCTATGAGATTGGTAAAAAAGCAACCAAAACATACCTACACCAAAATATGAAAAATGTAGCTAGCTCAAAAATGTTGTGGGCTGGACAGCCCCAGTGGGCTATGCAGCTGAAAGTGTGGCAGGTGTTAGCTCTCAAGCTCTTTGCATTCAGCCCTTCAGGCAGCCTAGTGATGCAGAGACCAGCTGCTGACACAATGAAGAGGCCAAGTGCTGCTGACACCAAACGAACCAAGCATGAGGCAAAGGAAGAAGAAGTGGAAGAACAAAGGGAAGAAGAAGAAGAAGAGAGCCTCCCTCTCACTGAGTCAGCCCTCAAAGACCACACCAAGTTTATGGAGGAGGTTGGAAAGCTAGATGAAAAGCAATTCTCTCTGGCTTTTTCCAAGCTACCTGAAAAGCAGCAACAGTGCTTATGGAAGAAATTTGAATGGAGTCGCAGAGCTGTGGACCTGGACAATGCATACAAAAGAGAAACACAAGGGAGTGGGTCCATGGTCAGGAAGAGAAACCTTTTGAGGTCCTGGGCACTTGATGGAGGGAAGTGTGGCAAGATGTTTAGGAAGGCAACGCAATCCATTGCCTTGGAGAAAAAGCATGGGGTAGAAAAGGAATGGTATTCCAAGAAGAAAATGGAAGATGAACTGGGGGTGGAAGAAATGACTGCTCGCCTGAAAGCTGGGACTCTCAAATGGAGAAGGAACCCAGAGGACACCAGGGTTCTTCCAGTTCCAAAAGCTGGCAGAAAAGGAGGCCACTATGCTCACCAAAGTGAAAGGGGGCAGCAGGGAAGTGAAGGGCACAGCAAGCAAGGATGAACTGCTGGCTTTCGACCACCTGATGCTGGAAGATCTCAATGAAGATGACTTTGTCCTGGGGCTAGGGGATGGTGAGGAGGAGGAGGAATTTGAGGGGATCAACAAGGACCTGGCCAAGGCCATGGGCCTCAAGAACAACAAAGACCCCAAGTCACCAAAAAAGGACAAAGAAGACAAATGGGCTGTGCTCAGCCAAGTTGATGAAAGTGATGGCAAGAAGCAAATCAACCAAAGGGTGATGAAGTTCAAGACAGAACTTACAAAGGACTTGGCTTCACTGGCGGCAGGGGTCTTCAGTTTGAGAGAGCAGGGTGACAAGGCCTTAGTGAAAGCTGTGCTGGTAACCCAAGAAAAAGCAAAAAAGGTATTGTAACCTGCTGGCAAGTACAGTGGTTCTGCTGCCTTAAGCCTTTTGGCTGGGCTGGTCTAAAGGGCTGGACAGCCCAGACCAGGTTTTTGAAAAAAGGGAGAAAAAGCGGGGCTGGATAGCCCCACTAAACAACAGGCCCCCATGCCACTAGTTGGATGCAGCTGGGCTGGATAGCCCCACCAAACAATGGGCTGGATAGCCCCATGTAACTAGTTAGGGTGGATAGCCCCACCACACATTTAATTGCACTACAGGCATTTGGGCTGGATAGTCCTATGTCATTTGGCAAGCCCACTTTGCCTAGTGGAGGAATTGGCTCAGGACCTTTGAAGGTGGAAAAATGGAAGGTCTTGAGCCATGCCGAGGAAGTATGGAAGTATGCCTTAGGCAAGCTATCAGCAGTTGAAGTTCAGGAGTTTGCCTCAGCTGCTTGCAAAAGCGGTGCTGATGCACCTGAAATGCAAGCTCTCCAGAGGCTTGGCTCTATGGGTGCAATCCCAGGAAATATCCACAGGGATTTACAGAGGAAATATTTTCACAAATTAGTTGCACCAGCTCCCTGGAAGATCACCACCAATATGCTGATGAAGGAGGATGGTCAAAGGGTGTCAAAAGCTACAGAATGCCATGTTCTGCTGCCTCACAGTTGGGCGCTATCCTTGGAAGAGGGTGACCTCTTTGAAAAGGTGATGCGCAAAGACAATGACTTGGTTCAGTTTTGGAAGACCCAAAAGCAGAATCCTCAAATGTCGAGTGACATGTGGAGGAGCCTCGACTTCACAAAGCCTTCTCAGCTTCCAGTGCCCTATGTGTTGCATGGGGATGGGCCCCATATACTGAGATAGACAGCCTCCAGGTCTTGTCTTTGAGGATGCTAGCATTTGACAAGCATCATTTGTGAGTGCTCTTTGTTTTCAGTGTTTTTCTGAATGAAAGCAATCAAACCTTTGATCAATGTGCCAAGCCTAGGTGCATGCTATCATCCAGGTCTGTGAGTGAAGCCCAATTGCTGTTGTGCGCAATCCCCAAGCTGGCTGCAGAAGAGGAAACCTTTCGCAGCATCATGTCTACCCTGGCTTGGTCCTTCAAAGCCTTGAGGGAGGCAGGGCACCCAAAGTCGATGTGGATGGAAAAGCAGTGGATGGGCCTGGTGCCAGGGGGAAAGGGTTTAGGAGAGGGTGGCTGTGGTGCATCACAGGGGACCTGGAGTGGTACGCTCAAGAGTTTGGATTTCCATTCGCTGCTAGCAACTTTTTGCGCCCCTATTGCAAAGCAGACCAAAAAAAAAATAAGGGGAAAGAGAACCCATTTACTGATTTCAGACCAACTGCAAGCTGGAGACATACTGTGAGGAGCAAACAGGACATGGAGAAACTTTATGGTTCTCATCCCTTGTTCAAAGGGGTGCCTGGGTTGAGTGTGTGCAGCATCAAGCTTGACACCTTGCACACCTTGGATTTGGGTGCCTCTGCCTATTGTTTCGGCAGTGTTCTGTGGAGCATTCTCAACCAGTTGCCTGGCACCAACAGAGCCTCAGCATGTTTGAAGTGTTTTTTGACAAGCACCCCTGGGGTTGGGCAGCCCAATGTCACACTTGGGCTGGAAAGCCCCATGTAACACTTGGGGTGGACAGCCTAGATTTGAGAGAGAAGCAAACCTGTTGAGCTTGAACAGGTTTGTAGGTCAGGTTGTATGATGACCAGGGTGCGCCTGCCTCCAACAGAATGAAGCACCTCACCATGGCTGATTTAGGGGGTGGTGGTGATTCTTATCCATGCCTGAAGCATATAAAGGCAGCCAAGGTCAGAGCTTTTTCGCCAGTATGTGTGGCCCTTTGCAAAATGTACCAGGAGGACAGGCATGGAAAGCACAGGCTGGCAATGGTGGTGGCCTTGGACAAGGCCTACAAGATTTTGGGGAAGACGTGGCAAGAGTGGGATGGGGAGGCAAAGAAAGATTTCCAGGTGGCCATGTGCACTTTCCTAAGCCATTACAGTTGGCTGGCAGAGGACAGCATGCATGCAGGCAGGAATTTGTACAGCTTGGTGCAAAAACACCACCTCCTCTGCCATTTGAGCACTACTGTGGGTGAATATTTCCACCCTTCATTGGCCCACACTTATGGATCAGAATCTTTCATGGGCATATGTGTGCGCATGGGGTCCTCTTGTACCAGGGGGACACCAGGGCACAAAGTGCCACTGAAGATCTTAGAGAAGTTCAGGCTAGTGTTTCACCTCTTTTTGGAGGGTCACATCACTATGGAGATGGAAGCCATGGATGAGGAGTAAAAATTTCATCTAGAGCTGGACAGCCCCAGGACATCATCGGAAGCTGGGTACCTATTTTTAGGGCTGATAACCTAGTCTGAGATTGGGCTGGATAGCCCCATGGCTATAGGATCCCTAGCAGGAAGATTGGGCTGATAACCAACATGCATGCACTGTGGTTTGGGCTGGATAGCCCCATGTAGCTAATTGGGCTGATAACCAACATGCATGCACTGTGGTTTGGGCTGGATAGCCCCATGTAAATAGATAGGAGCATGTGGGCTGGATAGCCCTGATGCAACCACAAAAAACCTTTTAAAAACGATTGAATTTTCGATTGAATTTTAAAGGTGTGAAAAGATTGTTTTTTCGATTGATTTTTGAACAAATTCAATCTTCGATTGAAAAACTCAATCTCGATTGAATTTTTTCAATCTAGGATGCTTAGGGAAGGCTTGGATCGCTTGGCCGATCGCCTCTTCGACCATTTACGTGATCAGATGCCCAAGAACACTACGGAAGCTCTCCAGGATCAAGTGGAGCAATTGATGAAGGAGAACGAGAAGCTCAAAGCCGCCACCGGCCGTACCTCTTCACCTATCCACAGCCCTTCCGAACCGGAAACTCCTGCTGATCGTGAACGCCTGCGTTTGGACAAATCCAAGCCTCACATCACCCCTCCTGCTCCTCCTCGCTCGGGACGCACTTTGGACAGTCACTTCAAGGCTTCTACACCAGAACCAGAGAAGTCCACTCCACCTCCTGCTGCTCCTGCGGACCCCCTCCATGCCTATATTGTTGGCACCAATCGCCCAGTATTGGAGGACAGCGCACCTGCGAAAGCCACGAAGACCGAGATCGACAAGTGGATCAAAGCCAACATCAAGGACAGGGCTCGCTTGACCAAGTTGGAAGACACTGCCAAAGAGATTGACTCCATCATCTCTACCCTCAAGGCCGACAAGTTGGATCTCCCCAATCTTTGCCGCCTTACTATTGCCTGGGGCTGGGACCCCAAACTGGCCCAGAGTGCCACCCAGAATGCCCTCATTCGCATGTTGGCCACGGCCAACGCTCTCGTCGCCTGATGGTTCCTCCAACACTACGCCGCGGCTTTTGTTGACCATGACCTTTTCTCAAGATTGCTCCCCACAGGCCCTATTATTATTTCAGTTCGTCTCCTTCGCCTTTTCTTACAGTTCTTCATCCTGGTTGATGCTCATTGTGAACTTACCTACCTGGAGCTACGCCCTTTGGTCTTTTTGAAAGGTCAACTATGCCGTCTTATTCTTTTTCGCGCCCTTCATGACGGTGCCCGTCGGAAAACTTTTCTCTCATTGCTGCATCGTTTTCGACCACTTCACCCACTTTACCTCCAGGACTACCTCCAACCCAACGTCGTCTACCTTCGCTTTCACCCACACTGTCAGGCTTATTACATCGGCAGCAGCATTCTCTCTCTCTTCGATCGTGAGATGTCTCGGAAACGGAAATATCGACAACTTTGCAGTGGAATCAACGCCTACTACGAACCTGCTCTACGTTACTGGAAGCGGACCCGTACATTAATTCAACACGCTGTCATTCCACTCCAACTCACCTCCGACACTTTGACTACTCGCTCCACTGAAATCTCTTTTCAGCACAACAATATCGCCCTCAACTCAAACACCCTTGGATCAACCCTCTCCTTCGACGACGTGGCCTTCACGTTCCTCAATACAACATTCCCACTACCCGTCACGGTCCTATTGGCATGACACGCCTTCATCGGCACCGCCGCCGGGTTGAACACCGCCACACCCACGAGTGCCTCTTGGATCTGCACCTGATCAAGACCTTGGACGTTCTTCACCTTCTTCATCGACTGGGAAGTGACACCAAAGAGAAGTTCTATACTTCTCGAGTACTACGCAGCCACTCCGCTCACGTGCCGCAGCCCAGCTTAGACTGATCTTCCGCTTCCGCAACTTGATGATTCCACCTACCCAGGCCACTCTTCGACTATTCCAACTATCTCACGGATTTCTACAACGTTGTCGCCAACATTTCCGCGCTTTTCTACGACTCCACTCCCACCTCTTTCCACCTCTACAAGTACCTGCTTCACCGATCATTGAGGTCAAGTCTCACACACTGGCACACTACCTCTTCACCTTCAGAACCTTTCTACGACAATGGACTCCATCCTTTTCACCTCAATGCAGTTGCCATCGGATCCGACCTGACGTTCATCGCCATCCTGACTCCAACCACATCATTGGATTCGCTTCGGACCTTTTCCCCGGTTTGCTACTTTCTGAAGCCAATCTTCAGGACACTGTATGGCCTGAGGAACGTCACTTTCTGCCATTCTCCTGCCCCTGCCACTATCACCACCTACTGCTCAAGACCTTCATACCGTCTCCTACCACATCCACACCTGTCTTCCAACCACTACGTCATGGCATCCAGCTGATTCGAACCCGCCTTCGTGACACATGGCCACCTCATCTTCTGCAAAGATATCGATGGGGCCTACACTGGGATCGCCGTCTACCTTCCGCCTACATTCTTCCCAAACATTCTCGAGACTGGAGCAAAGCACGACCCATCGTGTCCTACATGCAGACAGCCTGCGCCCCCCTCAGTCAGACGGTTGCCTCTGCCATCTACTGCCTTTTTCAGGTTGTCTTTCCGGAGCTGACCGCCCTTTCGGACGTTCTACCTCTTCTTCGCCACATTTGGAAGATCCTTCAACAATATGACTCCACGGACGACCTCGTTCTCTTTCAACAGGACATCGCCGGGTTCTTCAACTTCGTCACACATCCTCGCATGATCTCCACTGTTGAATTCCTGATCGCACGCTACGCTGCTCTCCAAGGGCTTGATCTGCAAGATGACCCTATTCTCAGCGTTGCTCACAATCAACAGGAACGCCTCCAGAGGATCTTTCGTGGACGCTGGCGCAGGACCTCTCGATCGTATCATCCCATTCACCTTCGTGACTTACCAGCCTTGGTTTCTCACCTACTGGCCTCCTCCTATTTCACTGTCGTCCTCACCGTTTTCCGACAATGTCAAGGAGCCTCCATGGGATCACCTTTGGCCCCTGCCTTATGCAGCGCAGTAGCACTCTTTCGGGAATACTGCTTTCTATGCTCCTTTCCCACTTCTTCTTGGCGCTACGCTACGGGATTGGTGCTTCGAGCACGATACGTTGACAACGTCTTCTTCCTCGGACCTACACACATGCTCCACACCGACTCTTTCCAGGCTGTCGCTCAACCCTTCTTTTATGGCAGACCACTTGAGATGGAGTATGTCACGGATGAGACCTTACTCGGCTTTGTTCTTTACACCTCTCAACGCACTATTACCTTCCGACAACCGCCTCATCTCACATTGATACGCAGCAATCGCACTGCCGGCTCTCCGGACATGGCTCTTGCTGGCTTCTTCACTCGCGGCATCTTGATCTGCCGCCTGACTCGTCCCCGCGACCTGATCTTTTCTCAACTCATTGACCTGACTCAACAATACCTTGACAAGGACTTCACCATGTCTCAACTTTTGCCACTTCTTCATCAACTTTGCCATCGCTTTCACCTCACTTTCTCTCTGGGTGCAGCACTTGAGACCGACGATTGATTGGAAAATACCCTGCGCACTCACCATTGAAACTTGAGTCTGTCTATTGTTTCCTGCCATTTCCTTCTATCCTTCCTTTTACAGCTCCTTTCCTTTCAGCTTCTCGGCTCAAACACGTGTTTCTCATTTCTTCCTTTACTCTTTGGACCTCGCCCATGTCACATTCGACTACTTCAGACTTGGTCTCCACTATTGCGACACAACTCAACATCGTCATTGTCGCCCTTCGACTACTTGTGGACATGATTCTAAATCCGGACGCTACCTCTCCTGCGGACACGATCCCGGGCTCCTGCCCCTCCAGACCACCTGCTAGTCCGGCATCGCCGCTATTTCAAACCACTACGAGACCTTCTATCAGCTGGGCACCTTGTGAACAACCGGTACATTTCCAGACTCTTTCGAGGACTCCGCCACCGTCACCTACGTCAGCAGCTGGGTCACGCACTCCCCCTGCCCTCCCCTCCTCCCCGGCTTTCTGCTCCACCTTTCACCCCCCCTTCCCCTTCCCCTCTTCCCGCAGATGTCGCTCTCTCTTCACCTCCCCCACTTTCGTTTCCCCCTTCTCCCGTTCTCTCCCCTCCGGACTTTGCCTACCCACCTCCCTCCACTCGGGCTCTCCCACCCTCCCCCTCCCCTTCCTGTTCCCTCGTCTCTTCCGCCTCCCTTGGCCCCCTTCCTTCTCGCCCCCGCAAACGCCGCTCTTCTTCCCCTTCTTCTTCCCCCTCCCCTACCTTTCGCCCTGCCTCTCCTCGCCCTCACTCAGACACCTCTTGGGAAGATGATTGGAGCACCAAGGATGACGAACTACTTCTCAGCCTCAAATGCAATGAACGCTTACGACCCAGTTGGCGCTACATCACCACGAAAATGCAGCGCCCAGAATCTCAGATCCGTGCTCCTTGGGCTGAACTCCTTGAACTACAACGGCTGGCTACATCCTGATTATCGTCTTTGACTTTTGACTCACCGACTCACAGCCAAGGAAAATGGCCTCCCCTGATTTTACACTTCTCTTTGTTTCATACACCATGTTTGCCCTTTTTGACACTTTGCCCTTACTTTACTTTCTCATTTGGTTTTCTCCATTTTGTTCAACCTCCCCATGCCTCTACCAGTTCAGCGTATCGGCCCAAAGCTCGTTTCACCGTTTTCGCTCTCGCACCTGACCACGACCCATGTCCAGCTTACCAGCTACAGGTATCAGACGATCTCGCCCATCCATGGCCTCCTACCTTCGGGACTCAGATGAACCTATTCTCATCTCCACTACCTTCCCCAAGAAAGCTCGTCCGGCAGAACCTCCTCCTTCATTGCGGAATACCTCTACCTCCTCGTATCCATCGAGTACGAGTACACCCACTGCGACCACACTTCTTTTGAGTGAG